ATTGAACATGGAGCGGTAACCGATATTCGGAAGATTTTTTTAAATATTTGAATTACTTTAGGTTTGTTGGTGCAGCATCGTCCCAGACAGGACAAATATGTGTTAGTGGTGGTCTTAATGCAGTTTTATAAATAAGCTGGGTTATGCCAGTTTGAAACCCGTATTTACGGTTTATTAGAGGGTATATATATAAGAGTGCAGCATTTGTTCAACCGTTGGATAATGTGGGGTTTTCACGTGAAACGCGATACACATTTAATGAAATCTAATCAACTTTGTGCACAATATGCCGCCTGAAAAATAGACAAAAATTATACATTTACCGTGAAAACTACTGTGCCTCTTAGAAGAGAGGTCAAAACACCCTGAGCAGTAACACTGAAGTCATGGAAATCATGTCGTAATATGTAGAGATGGATGTGCTGAGAAGTTCTGTTCAAACAATGCAGGCTAACAGAGTTGTCCATACACCACTTTGACCGGCAGACAAAGCGCACTTAATTACTGTGCATTTTAGGAGTCACATCTTAACGAACAATGTCGATCTGCTTTGTGGCATGAAGCAAGTCACGAATTGATGTATCTAGAATTCATAGTGATCTCTAGTCATCCGCTCTAGATAGCAATATTTAATGCCGTATTCATAGTCGACACTTATACGATAAGTAATAAACATGTACGTAAAATGAGTGAATCCTTATGACAGTTTCGTATTCATAGTCCCCACTAGTTCTAGAGTCGCATTTAGACAATATTTCGCTACATAATATTTGGCAAAATTGCTTTGCTGGTTACTAGATGCGAATCTAGAAGGCTGTGTCAATCTTGTTTACAATTTTGGCGGTTCTTTTAAGCGTATGAATAGTATCTGGTTTCATCGACAGGTTTCATCAACAGAATATAAATTATAAATTTCGTTTCGTTGCTTCGATGCGTTAAGTACTGTGCGAATAATTGCAATTGGTAAAATTTTTCCCATTTTGGGTGATTAGTGAATATAATTACTGGCGTACGATAATTGAACAACACATGAAGGGAATTTTAGAAACGTTTTAATATTTCTTGATACCACTTCAGATATTTTAGTAATGATTCTACAAACTGAAGGCTGACGTATTCTTTAGAGATCTGCTCATACGAACTGAAAAAATAATAAAATAAAAACACTTTTTCACATGATGCATTGTAATCATCATTATAAGAAAACGTATAAAACATGGTTCTCGTAGGATAACCTACAAAATACGCCTCTGTGCGGTGGTCTGCAATTGAAATTAATAAATTACTTAACTGAAATGATGACGTTGCGTACAATCTGTGTGCCATTAGCATTTTTAGGACTCGTGGTAATGGTTATCCTTTATTTTTCAAGCTCACTTTGTAAGTGAGCAACAGAGACACTAATGTTTACAATCGTATCCTTGTCAAAACGATATCTCTTCTTACATTCTTGTTGCGTATGCATCTCCAAAAGATTTACCAAGACTCTAAAGTATCGTTTTGGTACACGATCTTCCCTATCGATTTCAATAATTCCAAAAACTAAATATCTTTTAAGTTATTCCACGTTGAAAAATAAGGGTCCACTTAAGAATACATATAAGCTCAGAATAAGAATAAGTGAATGCTTAAGCAAACACTTAAGTGACGACTATGAATTGAAACTGCGAATAAATAATCACTCCTCAGTGTCCTCAAAAATAAGTGTCGACTATGAATAAGGTCCTACGATGTTCCTTAATAGAATAAGTTAAAATGCGCAATGACTATATTGCTTGCACGTTGCTCTGCGCAGATATAAATTGCACGCGAGTGAAAACGGAAGTAACAGGCGGGGAGCGGCTGCTTTCACGCACCACAGATCTCTAACAGAAATAGATAAAATTGCACATTTATTTAGTCAGAAAATAGTAAAAACTGTATGTGGAGTATGGGGGAGAAAATCATATGCGCACATTTTCTTGAGTTCCAGAATTCCTTCCCATCATTTTAACTATAAAAAGTTGAAATATGAGTAAAAGTAATAAATAAATAAAAATAAAATTTAAAAAAGCTCAAGATTTCTTTGCGACACGTCTTCTCGTCCCGGAGTGGAAGCATCTGGCATCGATTGATGTCTCTTGCAATACCTTTGACCAGTAGACGAAAACGAAACGTCTGCTATTCATGAAAGAAAAGCAATAAAAATATAACCGAATGAATACCACGTATTCCTTTCAACCCTACAAATCAACTAATTCATCAATTTGACCAGGAGGATTTTCGGTACTAGCTATACTAAAGCTTATCGAATTTAGCCACTGTCTGGAGGAGAATTCTAATGGTCGGTTTCTCCGATCGATATTCCGTGGTTTCTCCGATCTACACCAGGAGAATGACTCAACAAAAATGCCATGGACCGCGCGCGATCTTTCCTTCCTCCTCCTTGTCCTATCCTCACACCTTGCACACATTTACCCGAACATGCACTACACTACCACACATGCCTGGAGCTTAGAGGGTGCCCCGCGGACGGAAGATACCCTTTGGGGAAAACTCTACAAGCCGAGATGAAGGTTTGCGCCGGACCTCTCCAAACAGCGGGGAAAGGAAAGCGCAATAACACATGCACTTTACTTACGGGATTAATGACCTTAACAGTTCAATAGTGGAGGAATTCCGCACTAAGGATGTCCAGCTTTATTACAAAACGTATGCTCTTCTAGCCGAGAAGGGCCGTGAGATATGGGCGATTAACACAAGAATTAAAGGAGGAAGGGCTCATAGCTCTTCTACTGAGCGATTTCGATCAATTTCGCTTTACAAGTTCCGTACTTTAAAACTTGATGAAAGTAAATTTCTCCTTAACTATCATTCCTATAATTATTCATTTTCCCTCAATTAACCTCGCAAGAATCTTATTTGGTGATTACATTTAGAAGAAAAATAATGTGATTACTTCCCGGCCACCCTCGCCCTGAGAAGCTGTCTCAGCCTTCAACAGTGTGCCAGGAAAGTCTATCAGCACTTGGTTGAGTCAGAGCCTCCTATTAAAACCAATGATGTTGGTAGCAAACAGATCGCTGGGAAACAAGTGAAGAGGGCAACACTTTTAGAATCTGTTATGATTGTAGTGAGTGTGATATTTATGTTTTGTTTTGTTACCCTCTGCTACCAACATAACTTTGGTTGCAAGTACCAAGGGGACACTGAGGGAGAGACTTTCCTGGATCCCCGTATTTTCCACTCTGACAAATTTATTGAAGGCGATCTGTAATAAAAAATTACGAAACTATGCAAAAACATTTCCAATATCCTCCTCACTAGTTCTCGAGCTTCGCCTCAAGCCGGTGACGTTGGGTATGGAAAACTTGTTGCAAATCACGAGTATAACTTTTACAAAGTACGGTATGCCAACTTCCCTCAACGAAATCATTCTCGACCTTCGTCTCATACTCTTCGTGTTAAGTAAACTTGTGGCTCGAGGAAAGCCAAGCAAACACGCCTAGCCCAGAGCGGGTGACATCACTTTACAAAAATCTTACAAACCCTTTCGCATCGAGTAGCCCTGCAAGATCTACTGCTATCACCTATCGCAAAAACGAGCTGCCAGTTAAATTTTGAAATAAACCGGTATTTGCTTTAATCGCTTTAGTTTAAGTTGCAATGCATATCAAGTTTTCTCGCTTTGCTAGATGAGCTACCGCTTATTATTTTGTAGTAAAAAATACATTAAAAAAATTGTCCGTGCATAAATGTACATACCTAAATCAATACTATCAAAAACATTATATATTCAGGCGCTGTAAATATGAGTAATATGAGTATCCACACTTTACATTAACTATAATCATTGAATATTTGGCTCACAACTTAGTTTTCAAATTTTGTCTAGAGGCATCTTAAGCCAAGACTGACCAAGTTGTCAGTGAGTGCGTTATATTTAGAATTTCCAGCTACATTGGATGTTACTGAGCCGGGAAACGGAGCTGTTTCTTCGCAGCTGAAAAGTGATATCAAGCACCGACCTCCGCGAACCCTTGCGGGGTTTTCTCCCACCATGAATCAGCCCGGCAGGGCACCGCCTCATCCAATCGATCTCCAATCTCCGACTTGTTTCGCGACATGTGTAGTGCATGAAAGTGAGTGAGTGTGTGTGTGTGTGTGTGTGTGTGTGTGTGTGTAAGAGGCGAGGAGACAAGGATGATGAAGGAAAGATCAGGCGTGACCCATGGACTGTTTTGTAGGTATAGGTCCGGCATTCGCCTGGCATTGATCAGAGAAACCGTGGAAAATGAAACAGAGAAGCTGCTGTCAGGATTCTCCTGGAGATAACAACTGAATTCGTCTTAGCTACCTAGCTAAAGTCGAAAATCCGCCTCCGTTGGGATTCGAACCGAAGGACCTCCCAGTCAGGGTGGTGGCAGCGCTGGCAATGCTGGCTGTGAGTTAACTCTGCCGATCCAAGTCATTTTGAATCACCTGTATTTCAACATAGAAATGTAACATTCATTTTTCAATTCACAATTGTGTTATTTAAAAAAACTGGTCGGATTTAAGAAAATTGGTTGTAAAAAATGAGCACATTCACTTTGCGAATTAAACTTTCGGATTAAAACATTGCGTGAAATCTGACAAGAGAGGTGAAAGATACGCGATGAGTATGGGAAGTGCTGGTCTGAAATCCGGAGTCGCTCCTGAGAATACGTGTGTACACGTGAAAGCGCACTCTTAGGCGGACGGCGAGCGCTGAGCCGTCTCCGAGGGACTCGGGTGAGGAGTGTGGTCAGGTGCGCGGAGAAGGCTCAGGTGGTATTCCCTGCCCAGGTGGGCACGGTGAGGCGGAGCGGGGCGGGGCACGGCAGAGAGGAGGGACGTGGGCAGGTCGAAACGGGGCGAGGCAAGGCGCGGGGCTGAGAAAGGAGAGGTGGGGCGGGGCGAAGCAAAACCATATGGAGCGGGGCAAGAAAAGGGAGGCGGGGCGGTCCGAGGATGGAAGAGGCTAGAGAAAGAACGCGAGGATGGAAGGGGCGAGTCGAGAGAAAGAAGGCGTGCCGGAGCCGGGCGAGGGAGGTAGCGGGGGAGAGCGAGGTGGTATTGTCTGCCGGTAGTGCGCGAGGCGGGGGGCGGGGGCGGCCGTGACCTCTCGGACAGCGACCTTGAG